TTACAGTTTCTTCCATCGTGTGTGTATGTGTGTGTGTGTGTGTGTGTGTGTGTGTGTGAGCACGCGCACGTGCGTGCATGCATGTGCATGTGCACACCAGTCCTAGGACTTGAACTCAGGTCCTAGGCACTGTCCCTGAGCTTTTTTTTTCTCTCAAAGCTGGTGCTCTATCACTTGAGCCACAATGCTACTTCCGGTTTTCTGGTGGTTCATTGGAGATAGGAGTTTCATGGAGTTTCCTGCCTGGGCTGGCTTTGAATGGAGATCCTCAGATCTCAGCCTCCTGAGTAGCTAGGATGACAGGTGTGAGCCACCGGCACCCAGCTCAAAATATATTTTAAAAGTCCTTAGGGGGGCTGGGAAGGTGGCTCAGTGGTAGAGCGCTTGCCTTGCATGCATGAGGCCCTGGTTCAATTCCTCAGCACCACATAAGCAGAAAAAGCTAGACGTGGTGCTGTGGCTCAAGTGGTAGAGCACTCTCCTTGAGCTGAAGAGCTGAGGGACAGCGCCCAGGCCCAGAGTTCAGGCCCCACGACTGACCAAAAAAAAAATCCTTAGGATTCTTTTCTCTATGGGAAAATGGCCCCCCAAAAATGCCTTCAAAACCTTACAACATTTTCAGAAATAAAACGGGCCTGCTCCTCCCGCTTACCTCAAATACCCTGAACAAGCGGTATCGGATGTCATAACTGGTCCACAAGACCATGAAAAAGGCATTGAGGGAGATGGTGGTGATGATAAGTGTCCTGAAGATGCGGCTCCCTATGACCTTCCTCATGAACGCCTGGCACTGATGGTCTCGCCTCCTGGGAGAAGGGGAGGGGAAGGTTTGGTTACCATAGGAGAGCTACATTCCCACAATACACCCAACGAAGGGATGAGGGACAAGGGAACATAAACACATGCACGTGCAACTCCTCCTCCCTCCTTTGTTTTTTTTCCAGTCAAGGAGAACACTCTAGCATTTGAGCCAAAGCACCATTTAAGGTTTTCTGGAGATGAGTCTCATGGAGCCCGGCACCAGTGGCTCGCGCCTGTCATCCTAGCTACCCAAGAGGCTGAGATCCTGAGGATCACGGTTCAAAACCAGCCTGGGCAGGAAAGTCTATGAGACTCTTATCTCCAATGCACCACCAGAAAACAGGAAGTGGCGCTGTGGCTCAAGTGGTAGAGTGCTTGTCTTGAGCTGAAGGGCTGAGGGACAGCGCTCAGGCCCAGAGTTCAAGCCCCACGACTGACCAAAAAAAAAAAAAAAAAAGTCTCATGGACTTCCTTGCCCGGGCTGGCTTTGAACCTTGATCCTCAGATCTCAGTGTCCTGAGTAGCTAGGATGACAGGCGTGAGCCACCAGTGCCGGGCTTCCTCCCTCGTTCTTATGCCAAAGAATCCTGTCTTTATTTATTTGTCATGGGGCTTGAACTCTGGGCCTGGGCGCTGTCCCTCAGCTCTTCAGCTCAAGGCTAGTGCTCTACCACTTGAGCCACAGCGCCACTTCCAGCTTTTTCTGTTTATGTGGTACTGAGGAATGGAACCCAGGGCCTCATGCATGGGAGGCAAGCGCTCTACCACTGAGCCACCTTCCCAGCCCCTCCTCTGTCTTTATTCACTGGGTCAATTTTTTTTGTGTGTTCCAGTACTGAAACTTAAACTCAGGGCCTGAGCACTGCCCCCGAGCTCTTTCGTTCAAGGGTAATGCTCTACCACTTGAACCCATAGCCCTGCTTCTGGCTTTTTGGTGGCTAATTGGAGATAAGAGCCTCATGGACTTTCCTGTCTGGGCTGGCTTCGAACTGTGATCCTCAGCTCTCAGTCTCCTGAGAAGCTCTGATGACGGATATGAGCTGCCAGTAGACGGTGTAGTCAACCAATTTTTGTTTAGTGATGACTACTGTCAGGTAATACAAGGACACAATGTAAACACTATTAAATATTCTCAGTCCATAAGGAAAAACTAATAGCAAGAAGTGGAGGTGTGGCTTAAGTGAAAGCCTTGAGTGGAAAGGCTGAAGGACAGCACCCAGGCCCTGAGTTCAAGCCCCGGGACAAAAAAAAAATATCTAAGAAAAACCACTAGGCCAGGCGCCAGTGGCTAACACCTGTCATCCTAGCTACTCAGGAGGCTGAGATCTGAGGATCAAGGTTCAAAGCCCACCCAGGCAGGAAAGTCTAGCATGACAGGAGTGACCACAGGTGCCCGGCTCCTCAGCACAATTCTTAGCAACAGAGGGAGTGATTTACTTCAGATTCTTGATTCTTGAATGGACAGCCTCAGATGCGATATGTAACAATGAACCAGAAGCTTTTTTCCTAGATTCCTTGTCCACATGGTGGGTCATTGTTCAAATTTTCAAGCTTGACTCCTCACTTTGGATCATGTGACTGAAAAAAAAAAAATCTCCGCTCAGGGATCCCTCCCGTCTGGACTCCAGGGGGCAGCAGAGAGGGGTCCACCAAGGGAATCTCTGCTTTATGAGGTCACTGCCTGGGCATTCCAGAGGCCACTGGTCTGCAGGCCTGTCCTCGGATCCGTCTTCTCACTGATGGTAGTTGCTTCTGTACAGCAAGAATACGGACTGGGCAGAAGCAAGGAACAGGAAATCAGAGGTCAGGAGCGTATCCAGGATCCAGTCAAATCATCCATCTCTTCACCTGGATAGGTGGGCACGGGGCATCCTGACATGAGAAGCCCAAAGACCACATGTGCTCCAGCAGCAGCAGCCCACACGGGCCCACGGCCTGGAGGGCATTTCTCTAGCAGGACACAGCTGGGCATGTGGTGCACGCCTGTAATCCCAGCCCCAGCAGTCAGCAGGCATGGCAGCTTGGGAAATCCTCTTCTGACCAAGGAGCTGGTTGAGACACCAACCCACACATTACAGCTGAACACTGTAATGGGTCTCCATGTTGCAGGGGCATCTCACAGAACTCAAGGTTCAACAGTGTAGTTCTGGCCGGGATTAGAAAGCCTGTAGACCCGTCCATCCTCACACTGTAGCTCCACGCACCGATGGAAGTCAGGCTAGTGCTCAGACGCCTCAACCGCCCACACTGTTTTCCGCCTCTGTCCAAATCATCAAGAACCGCCCCCCCCCCCCCCACTTATTCTTATTGATCCAGGGTTCCTAAACCCTAACAAGTCAGAAAGCTAACTACCATTTCCAGAACTTCCATTAATTTCGCTTGAGAAAAAGACACTGTGAAAAAACTGTGCTGGCCCTGGCTTATCATCTGTGGAGGTCATCTGAGGGGGTCATAGGTCATGTCTGTTTAATTCCTCTCTAATGATCGTTCAGAAGGAAGGAGGAGGAAAAACAAAAGCTTCCCACATCAGAGAAACCACCATCATCACACAAGGGGCAGGAACAGGCTAGCGCCCGGGGGCCTCCATCTTTGACAACGTCTCTTTCAAGATGCAAAGTCAGTTACTTGAAGCAAGTCTGGAGATTCAGTCTGCCTGACTTCCCCACCTGATGGAGGCTCTCTGCCTCTCCCTAGTATAAAGTTTATGAGTTCCAGCAGATACAACACCTTTCACATAGACTTGGGTCAAACCCTCACATGGATGCTAATTGGTAACCATGTGCCCAGAAGAGCCACATCCAGCCCTCCCCACGATTCTTCCCGTCCTCCATGTTTCCACAGTTATCAAACACAGTCCCTGAGGATTACGGTCAAAGGGATGGCATTCATGATCCAGTACAAGGAGTTAAGGGACACCACAGAGGAACAAACCAACCCAGAAGGGAGAATATTCTACCTCTGTCAGTGGAGGAGTGGGGGGAGAAGAGCCTTGCTCTAGGCTCAGCATTTGAGATGGTGGCATTGTAGCATGTATGATAACCACGGCTTCCCTGGGATGCTTACTGAAGGGCAGAGGGTCATGCCATGCTATCTGGAATTTGCCTTCAGATGCCAAGTTTGGTTCCCACCTGGGGCATGGGGTGGCCGGGGAGGGCCAGGTTGCTGCTTCTAACAGAATCATTCTCTGGCCTCTGAAGTTGGATGTCTTACAAAAATGATCCTCATTAAACCTTGAAGCTGTGAACTCACGGTTCAGGGGTCACAACCTGTAAATGATGAAAAGCATCCTCAGCTCCTCCCTAGCTCTGTGAGTTCAACAGTGACGGTGGGTGCTTGTGCCAGTGCATCTTCCTGCAAGCTGTCTTCTCCTTCAACAACAACAACAAAATACAACCAAAAGCCTGGCACCAGTGGCTCATGTCTATAATCCAAGCTACTCAGGAGGCTGAGATCTGGGATCACAGTTGCAAGCCAGGCCAGAAAGTCTGTGACACTTATCTCCAATTAACCAGCAAAAAACAGGACTTTGGAGGTGTGGCTCAAGTGATAGTCGGCCTTGAGCAGCAAAAGCTAAGGGACAGCACCCAGGTCCCGAGTTTAAACTGCAGTACTGGCACACACATGTGTATGTACACACACACATACACAGTTTTCTCAATATTTGTGACTTCTGTATTGTAATTAAGTACATAAGTTACAACAGCAGCTAAGAGCCAAAGCAACGTTAGCTCCCTAAGAATTACTATATAACAAGTTGTCATGTCGAAAACGAACTTTATAACTTTGGTGGGGGGGGAGGATTGGGTGGGGGGTGGGGGTGGGGGGGAGAGGCTGGGAAGGGATAGGAAGGGGAAACAAAGGAGGAGGCTACAATGCTTGATAAGAAATGTACTCATTATCTTGCCCAGGTAATTGTAACTCCTCTGTACAGTATTTTCACAATAAAAAAATAAATAAATAAATTTAAAAAAAAGAATTACTATATAACCCAATTATGATTCTTTTTCTAACGTATAGCTATTCTCTAACACATCTATAAAAATCATGATTTTGAATTTCTGGATTATAAAGCGTGTGAACATTCTCCTATCCCAACTTTTGGTCTTTAAAAACACGACTTCTATAACTTAATAGTTACCTGGGTTGGTTTATCGTATGTATGTGAATAGATACAATGAAAAAATGCCTCAGGCTCAGGCTTCGGTCATTTTGTATTTAAGTACTGATTATACAAAACGTAAAAATGCTAATGGGTTTACAACGCCGTCTGTTGGTGTGAGGTGCCCGCCACAGCTTCTCGCCTGTGCTCAGCACGGATCCACGCACGCGAGGGGGCGGTCACACCGCAGCGGCGGCTTTCTCAATAAACTGCGCCAGCTTTACATCTCTCCTGGTCAGCCCGCCGCAGTCATGGGAGGTGAGAGTTATCTGGACCTAAGAAAAGGACAAGTGGATTTCAGGGCCCTGGAATTCTCCTTGGGTGGCTCAGAAGACAATCTATTATTCAGCGATCACATTTGAGACTGGTGGGATTATACGATTTGGAAAACACTGCGTCACGAATAAACCCAGTGAACGCCGGGGGCCAGCAGCCACCCAGGATAAAAAGGATGAGAGAACTCGGCCGCCAGGGTCTCAAAGCCTTGCTTCTTGTGGGGTGGGGGGCTTGGGGGGCAGCCATCAAGTTCCATTTGAACTCCAATAGTCAAATTATACTATTTTAAGGCTACTGAGAAAAACCAAGTTTCCAAATGTAACATCTTAGCAATCATGTTAGGAAAGCACATTTCCAAATAAGGGAAGGGGAAGATTCTTCTTGTTGTTATATTTTCTTAGTATCAATTAGTTGTAAAAGGGGAGGAGGGGGCTTTTCATATAGAACATTGCTTTTTTTTTTTGTCGGTTGTTGGGCTTGAACTCTGGGCCTGGGCACTGTCCCTCAGCTCTTCAGCTTAAGACTAGTGCTCAACCACTTGAGCCACAGTGCCACTTCTGGCCTTTTCTGCTTATGCGGTGCCGAGGAATCGAACCCAGGGCCTCATGCATGCAAGGCAAACGCTCTACCACTGAGCCACTTTCCCAGCCTAGAACATTGTTTCTTAACCAAAAAATAAAAAATAAAAAATTAGGGACCAAGAGAAGCCAATTAGGAAAGAAAGATTCATCCTTATATTACGATACTTTATTATTTTTTTTAAATTACAAACATGAGCCGGGTGCTGGCAGCCTTTAATCTTAGCTATTCAGGAGGCTGAGCTCTGAGGATCACAGTTGAAGCCTGGGTAGGCAAGCCCATGACTCTCATCTCCAATTAATCACAGAAAAATGCTGAAAGTGGTGCTGTGGCTCAAGTGGTAGAGTGTTAGCCTTGAACAAAAATGAGCCTAGGAACAGTGCACAGACCCTGAGTTCAAATCCCAGGATTGGCCAAAAAGAAAAAATAATTATAAACATGGTAAAGTTTTCTTTTTCCAAAGTGTACATAAAAAGAGAATATAACTCCTCAAAGACTCCAGATGACAGACATTCCAAACAAGTGACCACAGACAAGGACATCTTCGGGAGAGAAGCTTCTTCTTACTCTGCCCTAAAACTTCGTAGTCTGTCCTGTGTCTGCGGAGTTGAACAAGCATTATGTAAAGTACAATGAGCTTAGTGAGGCTAGAGTGTCCTACCTGCTACCATTTCCTTCAAGAAATCACTCTCAATTTGAACATTTCCCCAATGGCTGGTGTCCAAGTATAATTTAGAAACCTAACCTGGCCCAACTCTGTCATATTCATTCTAGGAGGCGAGCATGAGCTCATTCACCATGCTTATAAATGGTCATTGGAGATCAGAGTCTCACGGACTTTCCTGCCCTGGGCTGGCTGTGAACCGTGATCTCAGCTTCGGACTGGGTTACCTTGTTGCACACCTTGAACACAAGCAGACTGGGTTACCTTGTTGTACACGTTGAACCATTCGGGGTGATGGTTCATCTTCTCCGCCTGCAGGGCCACTCGAGACATAAAGCCAAATGCCTGCAGGGAAAAAAGAAGAAGATGACGACGAAGAAAAGGTCAGGATAACTGCATCCAGTGTCCTGGGCCCTGGAGAAGTGTGCAGGGGGGGCGGGAGGGGGGGAGGAGGCGCGAGGAGGGGAGCCAGGCAGCACAGTGCCCTGCTGCTCAGCAGGAGGCGGGGAACAATCAGCCTCAAATAAACAAACCAGGAAATTGGTCTCACCCACTGACTGGTCTGGACTGTTTAATTGTCCTGGGGCCTAGCACAGGAATGCCTCCCCCCCTTCTTCCCCATCCCCTCCCCGGCAGTCCCCTCCCTACCCCAGCCCTGGGTGTCTCTACCTGGCCTCAGGCCTGAGCAGGCAGCCACCTTGCCCACAGCTCTGTTGCTTTTGTTTTGGGGACTGGGTTGCTAAGGCACAGAACACACAGCACAGTGCACAGCGCGAGGAAGGCACTGGCAGGCAGGCAGGCAGGCAGGAGCTACGGGCTTCCTTACCGCACCTCTCAGTGCAGGAACGGAGGCTCGCCCGCCCCTCGGCTCCCCTCCCCACTGGCAAGGGGGCGGGGCTGCCTGCTGGGGTCCTTGGCTGGGGCCCACACTGTGTTTCAGGGGACAGCGCTGGCCCTCAGGCCTCAGTGAAGAAGCAAAGGCAGCCCGGCCACAGGCTACCGCGTGAAATGCAGCAGAAGGCAAACTTGCTCTGAGAGCAAGAAAAAGGAAAAAATTTTGTTTGCTTGCTTGCTTTCCGATTTTTATGAGGGTGATTGCCGACAATAGCACTGTGAGAGGGCGGAGCACCCCTGAGACTCAGGTAATGGTCCCAGGCCCACCCACATGAACCAATATTTAACTTCATTACCCTATCCAGAAAACCCTACCTGACGTCAGCGGGGCCACTGCTCTGCTATTGGACTCTAGAGTGCGTTTCCTGCTTAGCAGAAAGACAAGCCAGGCCATCTTTTTATTTTTATTTTTTCCCCATTGGTGGTGGGGCTTGAACTCTTGGCCTGGGCGCTGTCCCTCAGCTCTTCCGATCGAGGCAAGCGCTCTACCGCTTGAGCCACAGCGCCACTTCCGGTTTTCTGGCGATTCATTGGAGATCAGAGTCTCCCGGACTTTCCTGCCCAGGCTGGCTTTGAACCGTGATCCTCAGATCTCAGCCTCCTGAGTAGCTAGGATGACAGGCGTGAGCCACCGGCGCCCGGCGCCATGCCATCTGAAAAGATCCCACACCACTGGTCCCTGGGGTTCCCCACCCACAACCAACGCTATTTGGGATAATGACTTCCATTTTGACATTCCCACAGAAAAAAGCAAGTAAAACTCAAGCAAAATCCATCGAAACCACGTATGGAATTGTCTGTGGAAGGACAACTCACTTTCTTGACACCTCTCACTGCATCTCATGTCCAGATCACATGCAAAGGTGAGGCCGGCCCAGAAAGCCTGATTACTGAAACAGAATTCACCTGCATTGATAAGATGCAGTGAGTATTTCTCCTCTACCCTCTGCCTAAAGTGCCTGCTTTTGCTAAGCATTACTAGAATTACAAGATGAATGATCAACACGGACTAAAAAATAAGAAGAGCCTGGACTTTTGGACCAGGGGCTTCTGGATTCAAATTCTGACTGCTATTCAGCTGTCATGTGACTTAATTCCAAACCCTAGTTTTTTTTGTTTTTTTTTTTTTGGTCCGGTTGTGGGGCCTGAACTCTGGGCCTGAGAGCTGTCCCTCAGCTCTTCAGCTCAAGGCTAGTGCCCTACCACTTGAGCCACAGTGCCACTTCCAGCTTTTTTCTTTTTGCTTATGTGGTGCTGAGGAATCGAACCCAGGGCCTCAGGCATGCAAGGCAAGCACTCTACCACTGAGCCACCTTCCCAGCATCCAAACCCCAGTTTTCTAACCAGTAAAACATGGATGATTAAAAAATAACCAAACAAAACACCTCGTTGCTGGGTGCAGTTGGCTCACACCCATAGTCCTACTCAGGAAGCTGAGATCTGAGGACTGCAGTTCAAAGCCAGCCCAGGTAGGAAAGTCTGTAAGAACTCTTAGCTTCAATTTAGTACCAAAAAAAAACCAGAAGTGGAGCTGTGGCTCAAGTGGTAGAATGCTAGCCTTGACCAAAAAAGCTCAGGGACAGCGCCCAGGCCCTAAGTTCAAGCCCCAGGACTGACACACACACACAAGCTTTTGTGTAATCATTCTAATTCAAGATGTGGTAACATATATAAAGGAGTGCTCGTAGCACTTGGCAAAGATCAGATTAGCTGTGGTATATGCTGCTGCTGACTGCATAAGCCTTAAAAAAAAATTAACAAAAACTGCTTTCCCACAGGCCTGAGAATCTGTTGCTATCCCCCAGAAAAGTGACTTCTTTCTCTTTCCAGTTAGTCACAAATAGAGGCTCAAACGCCTATATCCAACAAGCAGATCAGGGTACTCTGATACTCGCTAATTGGGGAAACAGTTTAAAGCAAGAAATCATGAGGGCACTGGCCAAGTTCCTAAGCCCAACCATGCTGTCCTAAAAGACCCAAAGTGATGCTGAGACTCTCCTGCCATCTCCCCAGAGCCATGTGGACACACATGTGCACCTCACGTCTGGCCATTAGCCCCACTTCAGTGCAGTAGCAAAAATCTGTTTATTCGGGCTGGGAAGGTGGCTCAGTGGTAGAGCGCTTGCCTTGCATGCCTAAGGCCCTGGGTTCGATTCCTCAGCACCACATAAGCAAAAAGAAAAAAGCTGGCAGTGGCACTGTGGCTTAAGTGGTAGAGTGCTAGCCTTGAGCTGAAGAGCTGAGGGACAGCGCCCAGGCCCAGAGTTCAGACCCCAGGACCGGATCCCCCCCAAAAAATCTGTTTATTCTAACAAGTACATGAGACTTCATTAAAAGGAAACTCTCACAGCCTAGGGGGCATATGGACTGGAACTAAAGTATCTACCTATCTAAGTACGTGTGTGTGTGCGCGCGCGCGCATACCAGCTCTAGGATTTAAAGTCAGGCCTTAGGCACTGTCCCTAAGTTTTCTTTAACTAAAGACTAGTACTATACCACTTGGGCCATAGCTTCTTGGTGGTTACTTGGGGATAAGAATCTCATAGATGTGCCTTTGGGGCTGGTTTTGAACTATAATCCTTAGACCTTAGCCCACTCAATAGCTAAAATTACAGGCATGAGCCACCGGTGCCCTGGTTAAGTACAATTTTTTTTTTAATAGTCCATAATGCATTTTATTCTGTAACTTTATCACCACAATATGTTAGATGTGTTCCTATGGCTGAGTGAATTTACCTTCTGATTGACAGTAGCTTTGGAGTAGCTTTTCCACTTATCTCCTGCAGCTCTCCATTTGTTTCCTCAGGAAGGATGGCTTGAGAGGATTGGTTGAATTATTACACTTCTGAAATATCTGCCTGTTACATTTGATTTTGAACAGTAGTTTGACCGGGTATAAAATTCTGAAGTCTGTGTAGGAATTTTTCCTCTGATTTTATATCGAATGTTGGTATGAGGAATTTAGAAGTTAGTAGATTCTTAACAATGGTTGAACTAAAAGCCTTAATGTTTGTTTGGCTGGTGCTCTACCACTAGAGCCACACCTCCAGTCTAGCCTTTTGCTGGTTGTTTTGGAAACACACTCTCGAAGACTATTGTTCCCTGGCTGGCTTTAAATCTCACCCTCCTGGGTAGATTTACAGGCATGAGCTACTAGCAGCCTGGAAGTAGATTCTTTTCATCCTTCATATGAATTCATCTTTTTGACTAGATGTCAAGGATTTCTCTTCAAAGCTCACTGACTTTACTAGGATAGATATTCATGAGCAAATTTTTTTTTATAATCTACAGATTTACATCTTTCATTTTTTTGGAAGCTTTTCTTGAACTATGTCTGCCTTTTTTTTTTTCCTGTCTTGCATTCTTTTGTTCTAAGTACCATTTAGTTTTACATTTCCTTTGTCTTAGGTATTTATTATTTTGCAGTTCTCCTTAGTTGTTGTTAATTTGTTTCATTCTGCTCATGTCCTTGGTCCTGTGCTTGTTTAAGTTTTACTGGTTGTTGATGGTGTCCATGCTGCCTTGAGCCATTTCTAGCTTTCTCTCATAGAGTGGAGTCGGGAGGCCTGAAGATCTTTAGCTCTTACTGGGAGGTAAGATACCTTGCAAGCGAGTATCGTGAAGATTTGATTCTGTCACGCTGAGTACAGTAGAATGATCTGTGTCCTCAGAGCTGACTGAATATCCTTGTTCCTAAGAAGGAGCTTTAAGTAATTCTGTATGGTTTGCCAGAATTGTGATATTGTCTAAAGTGCATGGCAGCTGAAGGAAAATATGCAACATCGAGGAAAAGATCAATTTGGATGGCTTTTGAATGTGTGCTTAAAAATTGTACTTAGGGGCTGGGAAGGTGGCTCAGTGGTAGAGCGCTTGCCTTGCATGCATGAGGCCCTGGGTTCGATTCCTCAGCACCACATAAGCAGAAAAAGCTGGAAGTGGCGCTGTGGCTCAAGTGGTAGAGCTGCTAGCCTTGAGCTGAAGAGCTCAGGGACAGCGCCCAGACCCTGAGTTCAAGCCCTAGAACTGACAGACAGACAGACACACACACACACACACACACACACACTAATTATAATATCTATAAAGTCAAAATTAAAAAACATTCCCACACAAAGTATAACTTAAATGAAATTTTAAAACATACCAAAAAATCCATATCATAATTTAAAAAAAATAATGGAGAAAAATACTAGTTTTTTCATGTTTTATCAGACTAAACATAGCTGTCCAAAAAATAAAGAGCCTAAATCCAAGCAATTAAAAAAAAGAAACCTGCTGAGTATCGGTGGCTCCCAGCTGTAATCTTAGTTTACTTAGGAGGCTGAAATCTGAGGGTTGTAGTTCAAAGCCCACTGAAGCAAGGGAATGGGTGAGACTCAATCTCAAGCACTAAAGAAAAAAAAAAGCTGGAAGTAGAGCTGTAGCTCAAGTGCTACAGTGCTAGCCTTGAG